GTATATATATATACCTTTTTATATTCTTTTTCATTATAGGTTATTACAAGATATGGCATATAGTTCCCTGTGCCTTGCAGTAGAACTTTGTTGCTTATTTATTTAATATGTAGTAGTTAGATAGACAAGGTTAGAACTACCTTTTTAAGTTGGTGAGTTTTTCTTTATTTTCATTTTTATGTTTAATGGAGCTATTGTAACATTTGTATTCAGCATGGCGTAGGAACTGGCCATGAAGCTTTAGATATTTCTGATTAAAGGTAAAAATAGGAATATTCCCCTCCTCTAGTCAAGTTTCATTTTGACAAATGTCATTAAAGTAAGCACTGCTGCATTATAAAAAGGATTTATAAGAAGCGAGTGATGGCCTGTTAAGGCTAGTACTCAAAACAAGGTTATCCTAGACCACAAAATAAGTTTGACACTTTGGATTAATTTTTTTAAAAAGATATCACTTACATTAAAGTCTGTAATGATTCTTCTGAATTGACAGTGGATCTTTAAGCATTAAGATAAAAAATTACTCTTTTGGATTATTTGCTATTAAGAAATTGATTCAGGGTCAGGGATTTTGCATAATACTGCCAAATTATAGGACTGATGAAAGAGGAGGGTAAAGCTCAGTGGCAGATTGCATGCTTAGCACACAGGAGTTCCTGGGTTCAATCCCCAGCACCTCCATTAAAACAAACAAACAAACTTAATCCCCTCCCTGCCCCCCGAAAAAACCACTGATGAGGACAAGAATTTGGTCGTGCTCACTAATGCGTCCTGAGCTAGGAGTCAAACACAGGCCTGCTACTTAACAGTCAGTGACTGTTTCTCGAGTGAATGAATGAACCTCCTCTGATGTAATTTGGGAATAATATTGTCTGGTTATAGATACAGGACGGCTTCAGGGTTGAACTGAGGGAAACTTCCTGGGTGTTCAGTCCCAATGTTGTTATCAATATGTGGCCTCTTTAAATTAAGAAAAACAGGAACACAGATGTAAACTTACTTTTGAGTCTACCAGTTGTCAAGTCTGTTTAAAGACATGACATGAAAATTCTATCTGTAAAGTGGGGATAGCAACACAGAATCTGTCTGTCTGGTGCAAGTAGCTGCACTCAGATGAGAGGAGATACCCAGAGTGGGAGAAAATCCACAAAAATTGTGTATCCGATGGTGTATTTGTCTCCAGAATTTATATAGAACTCTTAAAACTTAGTAATAAAAAGGACAAATAACCCAACTGAAAAATGGGCAAAGGATCTGAATAGACACTTCTCCAGAGAAGACTCATAAGTGGCTAATAAGCACATGGAAAGGTGCTCAGTGTCATCAGCCATTGGGTGTGCAAACCAAAACTACCAGAGAAGGCACTCAGAGCCAGTGCTCGGCTGTGATCAAAGACAGGTCATGACGGGTGTTGATAAGGTGATAGGTGTGGAGAAATCGGAACCTTTGTGCATTGCTGGTGGAGATGTACGAGGGGGCAGCCACTTTGGAAAACAGCCCAGCAGCTCTTTAAATGGCTAAAACATGGAGTGACCGTGTGTTACCCAGGAATTCCATTCCTCGGTTTATACCCAAAAGAAATGAAAACATACGTTCACACAGACACTGGTGCATGAATGCTCACAGCAGCATTATTCCTCATAGTTAAAAAGTAGAAACAACCCAGAGGTCCATCAGTTGATGAGTGGAAAAACAAAATGTAGCATATCCACAGAATGGAATATTATTCAGCAAGAAAAAAGGAATAAAGTACTGACATATGCTGCAACATGGATAAATCTCAAAGCATTATTTATTGTCTGATTCCATTTATCTGAAATGTCCAGAATAGGCCAGAAAGTAGGTTCGTGGGCTGGGTGGGTTGGAGGCAGGGAGACGGAGTGACTGCTGATGGGGAGGGAGTTTCTTTTCAGGATGATGAAAATAGTCTAGAAGTGCTTGTGGAGATGGTTGCCTAACTCTGTGAATATACTAAAATCAATGCACTGTGAACTTCAAAAGGGTGAATTGTATGATAGGTGAGTTATATCTCAATAAAGCTGTTAAAAAAAGAATAAATGAGGTAACATGTGGGAATATGCTTTGAGCTATTTTGAGAAGATACGAATAATGTTGTGGTCTGACTGAAAGGCTTTTACACAGTAGCAGGATGACTTAGATATTTTTCCTTGCTTGCAGGCCTGTGGGTTTTCTGCCACGACTCCACTTTATAAGGCTATAACTCAGCGATATAAAATATTGAAAATGTTGAAGTGTAAAATGAAAACTGCTTGGCTTGCTATTTTTTTATTTAATAGGGTTTTCTGATTCGGTTAATTAGCAATAAGTAGAATGTGTCATTAAGGAATTAGATTTTAGAATCATAAAATTTTAGAGCTGGAAGAAATTTTAGAAGTCACGTCTCCTGGTCTCCCTCATATTGTGTTGTAAGTGAGAACACGGAGTCCTACAGAGGGTAACCAAGGTATCTTAGGTCACAGAGTTGAGTAAGCTCAGGAACTGAGTTCTTTGTGTTGACAGCTGTTGGTTTTAGCTCTATTGATGGTATTAGCGCTGATAATACCAATAGCAGCCACTTAAATGCATTCTGTACTAGTACCATATGTGTGTTATCTTGGTTAATCTGCCCAACAGTTTATGAAGATGTTTTGCTTTACTTGTGTATTAGTTTCCTGTTGCTGCTGTAACAAATGAACAAACACTTCATGGCTTGAAACAGCACACATTTATTATTTCACAGTTCTGGAAGTCAGAGTCCAAAATGGGTCTTCCTGAGTGTTGGAAAGGCTGAGTTCCTTTCTGGAGGCTTTGGGGAGGTAAGTTTTCTTGTCTTTTCCATCTTCGAGAGGCTGCTCACACCTTCTCAGCTCGTGGCCTCCTTCCATTTTTAAAGTCAGCAATGGCAGGTTGAGTCTTAAATGATGTTTCTCTGGTTCTGACTCCTCTGCATCCCTCTTCTCCCTTTGAGGACCCATCTCAATAATCCAGGATACTCTCCTTATCAGTTGATTAGCAACCTTAATTCCACTTGCAGTCTTAGTTCCTCTTTGTCATGTAACCGACCGCATTCACAGATCTCAGTGATTAGGATGCGGAGCTCCTTGGGGAGGTGTCATTATTCTGCTTCCCACAATCTGTTAATTAGATTAAGAGATTTAGGTTCAGAGAAGTTAGATAAATTGTCCAAATGTCGCAGCATTAGTAAATGAAAGAGCTAATATGTTAACCCAGGTCTTTCATGTTAACATGGTCTTGTCCACAAATGCCATTTGATCTTGGTCTGGAAGAGTAAGTAATTAGCAGTATTCAAGTAGTGAATAACTCTTTTTTATCAAAGTAAAATCACATTTACTTTAGTAGTCTCAAGAAATGGGCCATACTATTATGAAGCAATTAAAAGCATGATAGAAAATTATATTTATTAATGTGGGAAAATGTTTATGACACCTCAGATTTTAATTCATTAACTCCCTCCCCCATTTTTCTGTATTTATTAGTTCCCTCCTGTCATCAGTCCCTTCCTTATCCATCCTCCTCCTGCCCTGGTTCAAATGACTCTTCTGCAGATTCCCTCCCTCCCTCTGCACCTCTTTGATCTCGCCTGTCTGGCAAAAGCTCAGGGCTGGATGAGCCCGACTACCTGCCAGTTGGTTTTGCTTTAATGATATACTCAGCAGCCTCAGAATTGCTCAGCCGCCTTCCCCACGTGTCTCTTTTATCTCACTCCGCGCAGCGTGCCTCCTCCATTGTTTCCAGCCTCTTACCCACCGGCGGTACTTGACATCTTCGCCATCCTCCACGCAGTTGACCACAGTTGACCACGGCTTCCATTCAGGGACCCCCTCCTCTTGGCCTGTGTCACACCACCCTCTCCTGGCTCTCTTTTTCCCATCTTGACTGATCCTTTCAGTCTTCCATGTCAGTTCTTCCATCTCCAGGGTTGGTTCTGCCTGACTTCTGAGTGAGGAGTTCTGAAGGTTTAGCCTGGCCGTCCTGTGAGTGGCGGGATGGCGAGCAGCGTCTCTGACCTCCACCCACTAGATACCAGGAGCACCCCCTCTGTCCCCGGTGTGATAGCCAGAAATGTCTCCACACATTGCCCAGTGTCTCCTGGGGGCAAAATCACCCCCAGTTGAGAACCGCTTATCAAGCCTGAAGCTCTCGTCGGAGGATCTAAGGATAATGCACTTCTGGCAGCCCCACTTGAACGTCTCATCACACATTTAACATCACCAAAGTGGCTCTTGTTCTTTCTCCCCGATTCACTCCCCTGCAGCTTTCCTCCTCTCAGATGGTTTATAACCTCGCAGGGTGTTGGAGCTTTTATTCTGATGATCTGTTTTCTTAGGGAGCTCTCAGAGAGTTTGGGGCTAAGAAATGACAGGCTCTCACTTAGGTCAGCTTTTTGTTGAGAACAGACTAGAAGTTGGAAGGTTGAAGCAGGAAGACTAGCTAAGAAGCTACCGTGGTGACCTATGTGAAAAGGTTGACCAGGCTGGTAACAGAGGAGATGGCAAGAAGTGGTATCTTTTTTTTTCTTTTAAGAGTTTTGCCCACCTTTTGTTTTATTTATTTATTTCAATTGAGGTATAGTTGTTTACAATGTTGTGTTAGTTTCTGGTGTACAGCAGAGTGATTCAGTTATACATATGTATTCTTTTTCATATTCTTTTTCATTATAGGTTATTATAAGATATTGAGTGTAGTTCCCTGTGCTGTACAGTAGGACCTTGTTGTTTATCTATTTTATATAGAGTAGTTTGTATTGTCCAATCCCAAACTTCTAACTCATTCCTCCCCACTTCCGCTTTGGTAACCATAAATTTGTTTTCTATGTCTGTGAATCACTCTCTGTTTTGTAAATAAGTTCATTTGTATCACTTATTTTTAGATTCTACATATAAGTGATCTCATACAATATTTGTCTTTCACTGACTTACTTCATTTAGTATGATAACCTCTAGGTCCATCCATGTTGCTGCAAACAGCAAAAATTCATTCTTTTTTATGGCTGAGCAGTATTCCATTGTATTAATATACCATCACTTCTTTATCCAATGTTGATGGACATTTATGTTGCTTCCAGGTTTTGGCTACTCAGAAATGGTATCTTTGGTTCATTCTTTAAATATAAACCTCCCTGAGAAGAAGAACGCATTGTGCCATCATAAGATCAGTCTCTAAGTGTGGTTTGTTTATCAGGTGTTTCCTAAGATCTTACAGGAAACAGTGTTGGTGGATCAGAGCTAGAAGAGACTAGCCAGAGCCAGGAACCTGTGGAGCTGTGACGTGAGCATGTGCAGGCCAGGGTGGCCAGTGACATGAGAGACCCCACAGGAGGAGCTGGCGGGACGCCCCATCCAGCCAGGCCCCGCACAGCCTCCCCGTGGGCCGGCCCTTCCGCTGTAACACAAGCACGAGGTCAGGCAGATAGGACAGCGGAAGTCCGGAGACTCGTCTGCACCAGACTCGGGAAGCAGGTCATTTGGGGCCGTAAGGCTCCTAGCTGCAGTGACGGAGTAGCTGCTGGCTTCTGGGAGGGAGACGGGCCGTTTTTGTGTAGGATGACCCTAAACGTTGTGGAACACTCGGGATCCCTGGTCCTCCACTGGTAGCCATGTGTGCTTCCTCATCGTGGCATCTGAAAGGTGCCCCTGCCCCCCAGCTTCCAAACTCCCAGGGGAGTCAGACATGTCCAGCTGCAAACCACTGCAGACTGAGCCCTTTTCTCAGTTTGAAAATTGCCTTCCATAACAAGAAGTCCAAGGCTGTGGCATTGGCAGGCCCTTGAAGAAAATGCAGATATTTGATTTCTAGTTTGGGGGACTTACAAAGTAGAGCAGTGAATATTGCAAGCAATACTTTAAAATTAGGTCCCTAAGATGTACCTTAAAATACTAGTTCTTAATTTTTTTCTAGAAGGTGTGGGTGTTTCAGGGCCATCTCTGAGGACAGTGCGCAGAACACCTGCTCCAGCTGCTCCCTTCCTGGCCTTGTCCCATGAGGGAATCGGGATGAGAGTGAGTGAGGAGTTGGGATGAAAGGGATTCCCTGGCTGTGTCTTAGCAAAGGGGTGGGAGAAGGGTTGGGAGAGGGAGGTTTAATGTCTCTCTGTGAATGTTTATGCACATCGTGCCTCCATCGGGTCTAGCTGATAGCAAGAGCTAAGTAGGTTTAAAATCACATTTTAGAAAGAGGAGTGGAAAATAGAGTGTAATATTCATCTGATTTGTGAAAGATTTGATAACTCAGAATTGGAGCAACGAAAAACTCACCAAAGATCATCCGTTTGAATATATCAGATTTAAGACTTACTCACAATGGAAAAATAGCAGAACAGACGGGGGAAGTGCTCCTCTCCAGTGTGACTGAGGGTTAATATCTGTAATACCTGAACAGTTCTCTCCAACTTAATGGGGAAAGAAATGTCAAGATTTAATGCATAAGAGGACAGAGAATTTTAGCAGATAATAAGTAATGCAGTTAGTACTAAAAATGGGTAATCAAAGAAATGCATTTACAGTCACCTTGAGTTACCCCTTCTATTCTCTCAGAAGTACTGGAAATTAAAATCACTCCCAGTTCTGGCGAGATTTTGAGGAATTGGGGCCATTTGCTCTTGTCTGTGTCTTGTGCTCCACCTCCTCCCAGCCGCTGCCTTCCCCCCACAGGACGTGTGATTTCTGACTCTCGTGCCGTGTCCATGCTGCATCCTTTGCCTCTTCCTCCTGAGTGCTCTCCCTCTGAGAGCAGCTGTCGGGTGGGAGCAGGCATCCCACCCAAGTCAGCGCTGCTGGGAGGCGCCTTCTGACTCACGCTCAGACTCCGCGCCAGGGCGGCCAAGTCCTGGGTGAGTGGGTCCAGGGGCTCCTGAGATTAGGGGTGGTCTTTGTGCCTCACAGCCCGGCATAGTCCTTGACAATAAATGTTGAGCTAAATTATTGGAATTGGGTGAGTGTTTTCATGGACTACAGTATGTCAAGGTGATGGAACAGCATGATCCCTGTAAGTGTAATTGTGAGTGTAATTTATGGCAAAAGTGTGCAGCTGCATACAAACTGGTATATTTAGTGTGATGTCAACTGCATTTGAAAAGTAATATGCAAAAAATGAAAATTTGAAGATTTTAAATTGTAGGTTAAATGACTTTTCTTTATTATATAAAGATAACTCTTTAATCTTTATGATACAATGTATAATTAAAAAAATCAACTGGCAGCCTGGACACCCTGGTGTCCCCATAAAAGGCTAAACTCTCTTCCTTGTGTCCAGTGATCTGGTGTGTCTCTCGGGAAACAGCTGGGCCTCCCTGGTGGGTTCGCTCCCGTGGATAGCTGATTTATGTGAATGTGAATTTGGTCTTCAGACATATTTGAACTTTTACTATGACTGGATGTATATGGTTTGAGAGATGTTTTCATTTTTTAAAAAGAATTTCTAAATGATCCATCTCATAGGCACATATGTGGTACCTTGTATTTTGTGGTTTATAAATGCGCTCACGTGATCAATGACAAGTTCTGTAGTTTTGATGATGTCACGTGTGAAACGGCAATTGACTGAAAATTTTTTTGCATATCTTCTGTCTGCCAGTGATTGAGATACAGAATGCCTTTAGGGAAATCCTGGTCTGGCAGGGAGAGTGGACGGCCATGCTCACCTAATGAACAGAATGCTGGGGGAAGTGGGCCTGGAGAAGCAGCTCTTTACCAAGGAGCCTGGGGAGATAAGACGACTCTTCCCCAGTGAGGTGGCTCTTGAACGGAACCTCAGAAGATGAGCAAGATTTTTGCCAAAAGGAAAAAAAAAGATGCATGAACCAAAAGGTGGAGGTGTGGAGGAATATGGTACTTTCAGAAGCCACTGAAAGACCTTAGAGAGGGATCAGATGTGTATTTGGAAAAGAAAACTGAGGTCAGGATGGAGAAGGTAGCGAGAAGACTTGAGAAGGGTGGTTCTCGATCTTTTTTGCTTTTAGTTTTGCATCCTTTCCCCCGTGACTTCTGTGATCATCCCTAGATTTTCCATTACAGCATAGAGAAGACACGCTTTATCGTGTGTGCATCTCCAGCCAGCCAACCATATGGTCTACCTCAAAATTCATAGCTGTACGGCTGAAGGTCGCTTCTGACATTCTGGACGAGAACCGCAAATGAGAGGTTCAACTGAGAGACCATCACAGGGCTCCAAGCAGGAGGTGGCTGAGCCAGGGCAGTGATTCCAGAAATGGATGGGAAGGAGTATACTGGGGCTGTTTTCCTGTGTGTAGAGTTAGTGACAGAGTTGATGTGTGAGGGCTAGGGAGAAAAAGGAATTACAGGTTAGTGTTTCTCAGACTTTAATGGGCATAGGAATTGCCCGGGGGTTTTGTTAAAAGGTAGAGCCTGAGCCAGCAGGCCTGGGGTCAGGCCAGAGATTCTGGGTTTCTAACAAGATTCCAGGAAGTGGGTAGCACGATTTGTCCACAGATCAGTCTTTGAGTAGGAAGGGTCAGGAAACTTGAGTGTAAGGTTCCAGGGACCAGATGGTGATGTCATTGTCTGCAGTGGGAAACACAGGAGAAGGAAGGTTGGAGGGAACCTGGGAGATGGAATGAAGTCCTTGTGGCACATTCAGGTTGAAAATTAACAGACAGCTGGAAATTTGGATCCTTATACTCAAGAGAAAAGCAGGCCTAGAGTTACAAATTTGGGGATCAGCCCTTCATCAGTTACAGAAAGTAAAAGCCATGAGGACGAATGACGTTATCTGCAAGAAAGAGATGAAGGTGTTATTAGAAAATATACTTATTCCTGTTTGCTAGAGTTTTTTTTTTAATGGAGCTACTGGGGGATTGAACCCAGGACCTCGTGCATGTTAACTAAGCACACGCTCTACCACTGAGCTATGCCCTTCTCCCACCAGAATTTTAATGTTCCATTTAAGTTAGTTTATAAACCAGCAATGGAGAAGAAATTGGATAGGTGAGCTTCCTTCCTTGGACAGGAGAACAATCTGTAAGTGTAAATTCAGAACCAGAGACGTCTTCTTTGGAAAACTCCTTTATTCCTTAGTAATGAACATAGATCAGGTTACATATTCCATAGATTAAGTTTTTTAAAGGCCTTGAAGCACCTTCTTTTATGAAAGTTCATTTCATACAAACAAATATGTTTTAAACATCTTCAAAATGCCAGCCACTCTTCTGATCCCTGGGCTTAAAATAATAACAGATAAGATGTATCCCCACCGTGAAGGAGACTGTGAGGGAGACTGGCAAAGGAATACAATACAGTGTAGCAGGGACACACGGCTCAGTGTGGGGCCAAGGGACAGCCTTCCTGTGGAAGTGGAATTTCAGCTGAGACCAGAATGCGGAGTGAGGGTGACCAGGAAGACGGCCAGAAGCAAGGATTTAGAGAGGAGACAGCCCCACAAGTTGACAAGGGGCGATGTGACGGGCGCAGAGTGGGAGAGTGGAGATTAGTGAGGAATGAGGCTGGGGAGGTGGGCAGAGTCTGTGACAAGGCTTGGTCCCCTAGGATCTGGTAGTGGGTGAGGGAGAAAATGGTGTATTTTCCAAAGGAAAAGGTATTATTCACACAGTAGTCCTATGCATATGGTTTTATAAGACTTAGGGACTGGTGTAGTAGTGGAATGACTCCTAGTAACATTGTTTCTATAGGAAAAAGGTTTTGGGCTTCAAAATCTGACAATTGAACTTTTAAAGAATTTTTTTCACCATCTGGGGACTGCTTGGACAGGCACACAATCCTAGTGCTTTTTGTTATTTGTGCTCAAGTAATGCTTTCTCTGGTGTTTATCTCTGTGGCTGCCATGTGGATTTTTCACCCTCTGATAGGAATCAAAGGTATCATTCCACAGATCGAGTTGAAATTTTGTTTTCTTTTCTGGAACATACTTAGAAAGTATATGGAAATAAAAATAGAAATCTTTTTATAAATTGTTTGGCTTTCAGAGTGTTTGTTCTTTAAAGTTATGGATGCCTCTGTAAGCTGTGTTGTGTCGTGTTGTACACTATGGAAGTATGAAAAAAGTGAAACTGACATGGAAATTGTTATAAACAGAAAGTAGGAGACATTGGCGTGGTTTCAGTCTTGAAGTCAAATGGAATGCTGAACGTAAACAATACACGGATAAAGTATCTACCTTTTAAAAATACTTTAATGACTATGAGCTTAGCTTACATCATCATAATTATCAATCATTATCTTCATTACTAGTTTTTGTTATGAGAAATACTAGATTTTTTTTCAAAGCAGGGAAGAGCTGTTAAGGCCAGTCCCCTTATAAAGTAGGTACATACAAGCTTCATTTTGTTTAATAAGTGAAACTTCAGGCTAAAACTCCCTCAAATTTCCCATGTCTCCAGTAGGCAAAGTTCATTTCATCCACACCCATCTCAGCGAAAATGTGTCTGTCTGTTATCAGTTAGAACGCTTTTGGCTGGGAAATAACAGAAGATGCAGTTGTAAATAGCTTAAATAATAAGTAAATGTAATGATCTCATATAATTAGAAATCTGGAAGCACGATGGTTTTCTAGTTGATTCATGCAGCATCAAACTGGCGTCATGAGGCTCTTGGGATCTTTCTGCCGTTCTGTTCTGCCATCATAGATGAATTAGCTTTTGTCCTCAACCTTGTCCCTTGTCTCAAGACGGCAGGCAATTTTAGCTCCAGGATTTTTATCCTCATAGCAAAGTACCCGAGACTATAAGAAAAGGTGTCTCTTGTCTTAGTTTGGACTGATAACAAAATATTATGTACTGGGCAACTTGCACAGCAAATGTTTTATTTCTCACAGTTCTAAAGTCTGGGAAGTCCAGGCTCAAGATGCCTGAAAATTTGATTCTTCTGAGCTTGCAGACGATGACCTTTTCCTGTTTCCTCACAGTGGAGAGAGAGAGCGAGCTCTAGTTGCTTTCTTATTTTATAAGGACACTAATCCATTATGGGACTCCATGCTCATAACCTTGACTAAGCCTGATTGCCTCCAAAGACCTCACCTCCAGACACCTTCACACTGTGATTAGGGCCTTAACATACGGGTTTTAGGGGAACACAAACATTGAGGCCATAGCATCTTTTATGTCTTTTTTTGAGAGTGAAAAAAACCTACCCAGAAGCCTTGCCTTCACTAGCCAAATTTACATCATGTATCCCATTTCTAAACCAGTCAGTGGCAAGGGGTATAGAAGTTGTGTGATTGGCTTTGGCTACTCCAGATTCGTGGCCCTCCAGCCCTCCTCCCAGGGGAAAACAAAAGTAGGATCCTGTTATCCAGCAGGAGAGTGGACTGGGAGGGCAGCCACTAGTGCCTGCCACCCCTCCCAGGCCAGCTCCTCTGCCTTGGCTCGCATCTTTTCTGCCACGTGGAGGACATTCTGTGAGTCATTTTTTTCTCATCTTTATTTTTCATCTGTCTTTTCTCTCTTCAAGCTTAATGAAAGGAGAGTCTCCATGTGCTGTTTCATTTCTTTTCCTCCAGTGTTTTCTTTAAATCTCCTGTAATCTGGATTCTGCACCTCTGGATAATAAACCTCCCCTTCAGTCATCATCCGTGCCCATCTGATTGCCTCATCCTTTGCAAGTATTGCTGGTAATGTTCAGCAAGACCAGTGGTTCTCCAGGTTTAGCACCAGAATCACTTGGAGGGTGATTAAAATACAGACCCCTGGGTTCCATCCCCACAGTTTCTAATTCAGTAAGTCTGAGCTGGGACCTGCAGAGCTGAGCTTCCTTAAACTCTCCAGGACATCTCATATTATTG